ACAATTTCTTCTGTGATTGTGTAGGGTTTTCCCCTCTTTGCTATATTAAGCGAAATCTTGTACGAAGCAATTAATCCTCCTTCATTTTCAGTTTCAGTAGACTGTTTCATAAAACTTTTTAGAGTTGATCGACATGTGAATTTTTCTTTGATTTTTTTGAAAAATTCTAATTCTTCATTTTTTTTATCTGAATGAAGCCTTTCAAGATGGTCTTTCATTTTTGACGGTTTCATGTATTCATTTCCAAAAGTTTTTTCGCATATAAGACACATAGGAATAGTTTCATTTGTCGGTGAACAAATAAATCCAAATTTTAAGTAATCCAATGAATAATACCGACATTTCTTTTTAGATACTGAAGCTGTCATTTTAAAATTAGTGTTCTGTAAATAAGTTATAATTAAGTTGGTATATTATACTAATCCACATTATTAAAGCTTACCTTTTCACAAGTAACAATAATTAAAATTGATATCATAACTAAACGAATAGTTTTATAGAAACAATAACTAATTATCCAATGGTAGATATAATAGTAGTAATAATGACACTACAAGCATTTAATACTGTTTCACAGTTCACAAAGATAGCTGAAAATGCATATGATATTTGCGTTTGTAGCATCCAGTGTAGAATTAATTGGACAAGCGCATATATGCATCTGACTCATATGCAAGGCTCGTATGGTTTGCGATGGAGACAAAGGGCGAACCAACGACACGGTGCGTAACTGCCGTATAAGAAAAAAACTAAAAGAACTAAAACCACTTACATAAGAAGAAAGAAAACGGAGTACTGAAGATTCCCTTCGCGCTTAATGCATAGGAAGCCAATGGCAGTGTCGTCGCTCGCCAAGTCTGCGCCAAAGGCTCCTAATTGGTTGATGGGTTCGCCAGCAAGAGACACAGATAAGCCTCAATCGCTCTTCTGGCTACATACTATGAGTCATGCAAATTACAAACTGGTCACAAGGTCAAGTTGTGACATCACGGTATAGTTACGAAAACCCATAAGGAAAAAAGGGGCAGATTGTTTACTGATTTATTATTTTATTTTCTATAAAGAATATAATATTAAGTCAATTATAAAAATATTTTAAATTTTTATGTACGCAGTTAGATATGTGTGATTTGCGTATTAAGAACTGTTTTTCCTTTGAGCCCCAATAGACCCCCATTCGACCCCTTGGGTCAGATAGACCCCTAGGGGTCTATATAGACTACTTTGGCGACCCCTGTACTACAAGGTGCAGACTTTCAAATAATAGTCTGGTGCGATTCACCTTATAAAAGAATTCAGGATTTTCGATTAACTAGAATTGCTTACGGTACTGCATCAGCACCGTACCTTGTGGTAAAATGTTTACAGCAGTTAGCAATAGAAAAAGTAACTAACTTTCCTTTGGCTTCCAAGACATGCCTTAGGGACTTCTACGTTGATGATTTGATGTCCGGAGCCAGTTCAGTTACTGAAGCTATAGAATTACAAAATGCAATTGAATCAGATGTCACGTGCAGGATTTGTTTTAAGAAACTGGGCTTCTAACAGCAGAGAAGTCTTGAATTCAATTAATCCAGATTTGCGCTTGTCAAATGTTTCTTTAAACATAGACAATGATGATACTGTAAAAACGTTAGGCATCCTGTGGCATTCAGCTTCAGATATGTTTTTATTCAAAGTCAATTCATCATATCCTGAGGTCTTAGCCAAACAAACACTACTTTCAATAATCGCAAAGACCGTTAACCCTCTTGGATGGTTGGCACTGATCACGGTTCGGTATAAATTGATCATGTAAAGATTGTGGAAACATCAGTTGCAGTGGGATAAAAAGGTTCTTCCAGATATTGAATGTGAATGGAAACAACTTACAGAAGAGATGTTATTTATTAAAAGTATCAAAATTTCACAATCCTTGTTGGTTGAATCAGATAACCAATTTCAACTGCACGGGTTTTGTGACACCTCAGAGAAGGCATACGTCGCTGCAATTTATTATGGTTCTGTGTTAGATACTTGATAAATCAATATTCAGTTGGTGATAGCCAAGAGTTGCACCACTAATGAATGATTCTGTGCCTCAGCAAAGATGTGCTTTACAGTCAACAACTGCTGCCAGTCATTTGACAGACGCTCATGATTTATTTTATAAATATTCTTCTCTCACCAAACTTAAACGTGCTATAGTATTATGTCTGAGGTTTGTAAATAACTGTAGAAATTCAGAAGATCAGGTAAATGGATTTTTAAAAACTAGTGAATTAACTAAAGCTATGCATGTGTTAATTAAACTAATGCAATATGTAGAACTTAAGAATGAAATTAACACTTTAAGCAGAAATCAATCATTATCTTGTACAAGCAAAATTTTATCTTTAAATCCATTTTTAGATAATTCAGGTATTCTCAGGTTGGGCGTTCGCTTGGGACATGCAAACCTTGCATATGGCTTTAGGCATCCAATTTTGCTGCCACAGAGGCACATTTTAACTCATCTCATTGTTAGACATTACCATGAAATACTTTTGCATGCAGGTCCACAATTCATGCAATCTTGCATTCAAGAACAATATTGGATCATAAGTGGTAGAGCTGTTATCAGAGATTTAGTTAGAAAATGTATACGGTGTTGCAAAATTAGAGCGTCTGTCACTAATCAACTGATGAGCGATTTGCCATCTAGTCGCGTTTCCACTACTCTTGCATTTTTGCACCGTGGAGTGGATTACGCAGGTCCTTTTCAAATTAAAGGAAATAAGGGTCATGGCTCTAGGTCACTCAAGGCATATATAGCTCTATTTGTTTGTTTTACGAGAAGAGCTATTCACTTAGAATTAGTAGCTGATCTTTCAGCAGATGCTTTTATTGCAGCTTTTAAGAGGTTCATTTTACGCAGAGGCAAAAGCAGTGATATATATAGTGATTGCAGTTCCAATTTTGTTGGAGCAAAACGCAAACTCATGGAATTTGAAAGGCTTGCTAGATCTGCTACTTATAACCAAAATGTTAGTAGATATTTGGTTGATAATGGCATTAAATGGAATCTAAACATTCCAGGTGTACCACACATGGGTGGACTCTGGGAAGCTGGCATAAAATCAACAAAATATGAGTAGTTGGGGAGGCGAGATTGACATCTGAAGAATTTGAAACATTTCTCACACAAATAGAAGCTTGTCTTAACTCGCGACCTTTAAGAACTTTATCTAATGATCCAAATGACTTATCAGCATTAACGCCTGGTAATTTTCTTATTGGTAGATCATTAACAAGCATTCCTGAACCAAATTACATTGAAGTTTCCCACCTCATTAGATGGCAACATATTAAAAAAATGCTTCAACAATTTTGGAAGCGTTGGCACAAAGAATATCTGTGTCGATTACAACAAAGACCAAAATGGCTTTTGCCAACTAAAAATTTTCAAGTTAATGATCTGTGTCTCATAAAGGAGGATAACTTAACTCCAACTAAATGGAAAATGGGTAGAATTACTCAGTTACATCCTGGTCTTGATAATATTATTAGGGTTGTGACTATTAAGACTTCAGATAGCATGGTTAAAAGAAATATTACAAAATTGTGTCCATTACCAATTTGAGTTTTAACTCATGCATTATAAATTAAGTATTATATCATGATTTTAATATTGTATTGTGTTTTTTAAATTTGATGAATTTTTAACCACTGAATGTTGAAATAGTATTTCAAGGTGGGCGGCATGTTCGTGCCTTATGTAAATTTTAATTTTGTTCTCTGCAAGAGGGCGCCTGCGAGTGCCGAAATACCTGTATATCTATTGCACGAACTTGTTCTTCTCACGGCCAATAAACGCAATAACGAACATTTGTGACTACTTTCCATCCACTAACAAATTATACTCACTGTGAGCACTGAACACACATGCCCACAGACATAAATAAGCAGATAAACAAATACTTGATTATACTGCCTTTAATTGGACATCTTTCCTTTTAGCTTTTTCATCAAATGATTTTAGAATTTTTAATTTATGTACATAATTTGGATTTTCTTCTCAACAATTAGGAAAAACAACTCCTCCATAAGATTAATCAGTATCCCAAATTCCTCAGACTGTGTTTTCTTTACACATTCACCTGTTATGATCATTGTAGGCACATTGCATACCACTGAAAGTTGATAAAGTAGACACTTGAAAGATACATTGCAGAAAGAGGCCATGCAATCAGCCAAAAGTTACAGCCCCCTCATTTATTTCACACATACAGAAAGTTTGCTTTTGGTAGCGGTTCAAAATTCACTATATCCTCCAGAACATTAATGCCAAAAGGTGAGCCTTTGTGGGCATCAAAAGGTTTTAATGGATGTGATGCAGATGCAAAAAAACACAAATTTCATTACATTTCTGCAGGATGCAGCAATGGCATGGAGGCTGAGTTGCTCACAGATGTGCTAAAGAAGTTTTTGATTTATCCTTGCCTTCAGAAAAGAAGCAGAGGCCCTAAGGACAAGTGAATTACTCCATACAAAATAAATACCCTTTGCAGTCTCTTGTATCAAGTAACAGTTGCATTGTTTTCAGTTTTAAAAATCCTGGGTTAATTCTGAAGAGTGCACTCAAGTTAATAAGAAAAACTTTTGTAAACTATAAATTGCAAATTACAGATTCATTTTCTTTCGCCTTACTTTCTTTTAAATTTTCTTTCAAAGGTACTAAGAAACATCAGATTTATACAGATAATACTAAAAAATATTATTTAAGGCAATAAATCAAATTTCTGAAATAAACTATAAGGCAATAAATCAAATTTCTGAAATAAACTATCTAACATAATCTTTCAACATAATATTTTATCTGTTAAGTTCTTCCATTAACACCTATTTTGGAAATGGCATAATAATGCATAGTGAAAGAGTATAAGTTATACAAATAATAAAACAAAACTCACAAAGTTAGAGTACAAAATGTAATGTCTGAAAAGTGAATACAAACAGCTTTGCAAATAAAACTGCAATACCTCTCTTCCAAACGGGATTTTATGTCACTAGTGGTAAGCACAGGACCACTGCTTTTTAGAAGATTACTTGGTAATGGCCTGCAGGGAAGTGATATATTCTCAGTACTTTCTGGCACATAACTGGCAGTAGTGCTAATACTCACTGGTGTATATGAATAAAGTTGATTTTCAGCAATTTCATGATTCTGAGATGGACCCACCTATTTGTTTAAACATAGTATTAAAAGGTAAAGAATGCATTATTATTTATGAAATACATAAATCTATAAATACAAATTATAAAACCCTAAGAATACAGTGTTCCAAAGCTTAAAAATAAGTTCCATGTTTTGCTTATATTCCCCCCTTCTTGCACAACATACATATGACTATGAACATACATACATATTTCAACAGAAAGGGCAAATGGGAAATGTATACAATCAACATTTGAACCCTAACTCAAAAAATGCAGTAGGGGGCCATACAAGAAAAACCACAATCATTATGTCAGTAAAATCAGTTTTATTTTTTATTTAAACTTGGATCTGTTTTATTATTATTATTATTATTATTATTATCAGAGCAAAATAATGAGTAACTCATTAAAAATTAATCCTGAAAATTGACATTAACTATTATACATGTTTAATCTAAAAAATGACAACTGGTGGAAAAACCTAAAAAGAATATACTTGGCTAATTTTTTAATATGCTAATGAGATTATTATATTAATTGAGAAAATCTACCAATGCAGACCTTGGCACATTCAATGTAAAAGACTGCATGGTAATTTATACATTGTTTGTATAATAAATGTATTTACATTTAATAGGAAAGCAACATAACCACTGGCTTAAAAAACAATTCAAAACAAAAATATATTTTCTTCAGTGCTTTAATATTTTATTACACAAATATACTACTGTTCACCGACACTGAAACATTATGTTGAACAGACTTGGAAATTTATCACATGGGCTGATTATTATGAGAGATCCAAAGGTTTAAAATTTCAACAGCAAGGCAAATGGGAAATGTATACAATCAACATTGAACCCTAACTCAAAAAATGCAGTAGGGGGCCATACAAGAAAAACCACAATCATTATGTCAGTAAAATCAATTTTATTGCACTGGCAATAAAACGTATGTAAGCATGTCTTAATTAATGCTAATTATGATGACATCATAAACAATAGAAAGATTTCAAAAAAGGAAGAATTGTGGAATTGAAAGAAGATATTTTTTTATATTATGAAATTGCAGCAAATAATGGATGTGACACTAGTACAGTTATGCACACTTGAAGTCAATGAACAGAAGGTCTGTTTATCGACTTCAAGTTCATTTTTTATGTCTATAGGTGTTCTAATATTTTCATGTCAATTAGTCAATGAACAATGAGCAGAAGGTCTGTTCGTTGTTCATTGACTAATTGACATGAAAATATTAGAACATTTACAGACATAAAAAATAAATATAAAAAAATAGATATTCCCCTGATACGCATGATAGTGACGAATCATGCAATAATTCTATAGCATTTGCACACATTCTATAGCATTCTATAGCATTGCACAACAAAGGACAAGCACTCTTTGTAGATAAGCAATTTACCCAGTTTCAAGCCCTTGCTGAATGCTGACCTACAAGAGCTTGTAGCTTGGCATTCACTTTTCCCCCTTTTGTTGACCTCCTATTGATGACAGAGATAGCAAAAGTATAAAATAAAGACACTCAGCCATGATAGAGAACAAATTATCTTTGCTGATGAGTCTAGGTATAATTTGTGGACCCATGATAATTTGACCTTCGAGAATGATATGAAAATCTCTGAAGAGTATCGTAATGGATTTAGAGACAGTGTCACGGTGTGGAATGCTATTCCCTTTCATTTACACTTTCATCTTCTACACGGGTACTATGCGTAGCGATCAGTGCATTCATGAGGTGATGAAACAGAAGTCCTACCATTGCTATAGAAACATACTGTGGCTATATTCTAATGAGATATGCTACTATCAATACTGTTTAGTATTTCTTGTATGAACATGAAATGTCACCTCTTTCTGGGCTTATACAGTCAACCTATTTATGCCCTACAGAATATCTGTAAGATATGACTGCTAAAAGGTTGGCCCTTATGTCAAAACATGGAACTACAACTGATGAGTTACGGAAATGCATTCAACCTGCATAGAATGATATTCCATAGACAAATGTCTAAAAAATGTGTATTTAGTTATAGATGTTAACAGAAAACTAACAAAGTTTAAATTTAGTACATTCTTATTGCATTAGTTTTGAAATTTAATAATTTATATTTTATCACATATGCACAGTTTACAATAAATCTTTGCTGTGATTTATGTCTTTAGAATCGCAATGTGTACAACCAACAGTTCATTAAATATTACAAGCTGTTCTAATTCAGGTTAAACAAAAAGGCTAATTTTAAAATTTATTACAAATGCAAAACTCTACATGATTATTTTATAACAATACGTACAATTAGTTTTATAGCACATTTTATTTGCTACTTCTTATTACAAAAATTATATAGTTTCAAATGTTTATAATATTTCAAACACTTTTTATACTTAAATGCATGCAAAGTACCTGAGTAACTCCAACTCCTTTCCTTATCTGTTCTCTCTCCCATCGATCTAATTCTGCAGCTTCTTCAGTTTCTAATTCATTTGTTGAACCTGAAATATTAGATTTGCTCTAAATTTTAGTTTATCTAAACATGTTTCATATGCACACACACATATATTTGACCTTTAAAACATAAAAAGTGTTTTAAATGACAGTCTCTCAAAATATACAAATAATTTGATTATAAAACTGAAATTACACTTTGTAAATTTCAGAACTTTAATCCAAATTTGAGATCACTTAAAACAGATAACAAATATTATGCTTAATTCAATAACAAAAGAACATATAAACAGAACCAGAATGAACTAAATATTTTATTATGCTGAGTGAAAAAGGTGAAAAATACTCCCCAGTTAAAAAGTTACAACCACATTACTCAGAAATATTTAAATTTTTTTATAAAAATATAAAAAGTCATAAATAGTATTTTTGATAAGCCTCAATAAGATAACTGAAAAGACTGTGGGAATGCAATTAATTGAAAATAATTTATCAAGGAAAGTTACTATTAATTTTGAGTTCCCTATTTCAACATTTAGTCTGACTTAGTAAAGTATCGGTAATTATAAAGTTCTATTATAATGCCCAAGAATAAAAAGGTATCATATATATTTAACTAAAGAATATAATAAAGCAGTTAAATATTAATTCAAACATATGTATATTATTTTTATATGAATATAACTGTGATATTTAAATCAGTTTAAATTATTAAAAATATTAATTTTAAAATAAAATATCACAGATATTCTTAACCTATTTTTTATTAATATTTATGACTTTTCTGTCCCTTTTTTTTGCGGGGGCGGGGGGTATCTTACATAACAAATTTTTTAACAGTCAGCACAATATTTTAATACAAAAAAAATTCATGCCACACTTGAGAATTAATATAAAAAAGACATAAAATTAAAATATCTACTTACTTTAAAAGAACATAAATTCAGATATTTACCTTCTTGTAATGATAAGAATGTTTCCCTGATTTTTTGCCTTTCCACAGCTACAGTATTAACAGTAAAACTTAGTCTTGATGGCTCATCATCTTCATCATCATCACTTCTATCATTATCATCTTCCCTACGTATAGAAAATTTATCTGATTATAGCAAAGCATGTGAAGACTATCTGCCTCAGGAGAGGAATACCATTATAGAAGACTTTCTAAAGAAGTTGGCTTGTTATTCACATTACACATTGAAAAGACAATAAAAACACCCACCGTCTTGTTCGCATGGTTGTAGAGAAGTGGTGCCATAACCTCGGGCTCAGGTTTGAAGCCCATAAAAAGTGTAGTGAAAATCTCAGCCCCCCCCCGGAAAATACTATATTTCATATAGGGAGGGTTTTTCTACACCTAAAAATTTTATGACACAATTTAACAGCATTTTCATACTTTTTAATCTGTAGCATTTTTTAAAGACACTAGTTTGGTTACTTTGCCATAATTTTATTTTATAACAGTAATATTATATATATATGTTACGGTGAAACACCAAAATCTGGAGAATGTCGACTTTCACCGGTGAATGTCAACATTCCCATAGTCTCTTGGTGTATGTCCAAAATATTTTCCATATACTCTTATTTCTGACTTACACTGGTCAATGTCGACATTCACCATGTACTAATGGTGAATGTTGAACATATAACAATATTATATTTTTTTCTCCATAATTCAGTCGCGAATAAACGCACTTGAAACTTGAAATAAGAACTTAAGAACATGAGAACCTAAAACACACAATACATTCAAAATGAGAAAGGAAAATAATAGAAGTTAAAAACTTACTTAATTATACAGTACGTTCTAAATGAGAAAATAAAATAACAGTAATAAAAAACTTACTAAATTATGTGATTAAAATCTTATTTATTGCAACAACTTAAACTATTATGGCACTTTATAACCTCTCTTTTCCACTCACACCAGAGCATATCTGTGATTGTCGACATACACCAGTGAGGGTCCGAATATACAAGAATGTAGTGCAATATTCGATCTTTCACCAACGTATTTGGTGAATGTTAACATTCTCCAATTTCGGTCTTTCACGGTAACCTATGTATATAAAAGTATAAGAGCTGCATAGGAAAAAAAAAAAGGTTAAAACAGATGATTTAGTTTGTAGAGTAATTAGGTTTATCAGAGCAGGAATGATAAAAAATATGCAATGCCCTTGCTAGAACTCAAACTCTACACCTTCCAACTGCTAACTAATTACACCACAAAGGCATGTGGTAAGAAGGGAAAAAATACCTTACAAGTTGCAAAAGATTTCAGATAAAAATTATTTTATTTTTTAAAATTACTTCATGCACAAAACTTTCAATAAATATATTACAAATTACTATATTCAAAAACTGAGATGATATAATTAGTATATCAGTCATGATGATATAATGAATGACTGCTTAAAATACTAAATACTGGATTTAACAACTCTGGGACATAATGAAAAATGTGCAGATTTTCTAAACAAAAATGAAAAATTTTGTAAACAACAAAATGTTTTTGATAACTACAGAAAATGATTTATGCACTACCTAAAGTATATTACAATGGCTAAAGAAATGCAAAACTGATAGTCCTTTGATCGCCAAGACCATATATATATGTGTGTGTATATGAAAAATAAAGAATTTATAGAAGATTATATTAGCAGCGGAATATGTAAGACAAATAAAGAAAATGTAAAAGATTAAATTAGCAGCTTAAATTCCCTTTAGTATTCTGAAAATAGTAAACTCTATTTGCACTGCGTCATTTTGAGACTAATCTATGTCATATGATTCTTACATAATTCTCAGGATGTAAATGGAACTAAAACAGCCAATAGTAATTTTACAGCAATATTAAATATCCAATCATAATGCATTGAGAACCAACTCAGTCTGAATTAAGATTTCACCCTCAAATATAACACACTTCTTTCTACGCTTTGGCCTAGCTGGACTGCAGTCTGTCTGCTCCTTCTTTCTTAAAATTTATCTAAAATGTAAACTTTTTGGAATGGGCACAATTAATGTGCTAACTTGACTGTAGCCGCAAAATGTTTACTGAAATAAGAGTTGAACTAAATATACCTTGACTGCCAAATTTCTTATTTATTTTGGATCAGCATTTCAGCATTCGACAACATCAAAATTCTCACTGTTCATTACGCATTCAACCGCCTGCGTTCTTCTACAGAATCTATTACATAAATACTTTTGGCACAAAAAATTACATCATTCTTCTCCTAGCTTCTATAACACCAACATCTATGCTTCCCTGTTTAAAATGCCTGTGTCTTACTTTTAAAAACCAATGTACACAGCCATTTATCCTATTTAATTATGAATGAATAAGTGTCTGCCAAATTAATTGGATATGTGAAAATAAAGATTGGTGATTTATTGAGATCTAATTCATTATCTTCATCTGTATGCCTTAATCATAAGCCATGAAAACTGTTAAGAGTTCCAGTGTCTTCTTCTATGCATTAAAAATATGACAGATTTATCTTAAATATAAGAAAATATGATAGCTGCTTTAAAAATAATTGGCAACCTCAAAATTAACGATTCTAGATTTGGTGCTCCCCTTATAAATTTATTTTTTCTTCCAAATTCAAGATCCTTCTATGTTATGTAACAACATAAGATTAACCAATCATAGCTTGTCTCTACATTAGACTCAATATAAATGTCGTATAAGAAGAAAATACTTGAGCTCTTAACAGCTTTCAATAACAGTCATGGCTTATGATTAAGGCATGCAGATTGTGCAGGATTTATGTATAAGCTACACAAACTATAACTTAGAGCCCCCACTTTTTTTGGGGCCCCCAAAATTGTCCGTTTATTATTTAAAATAATAAATGGCAGTACTGGAAAAGTGTTCTTAAATGAGTTGTGGTAGTCATAATTACTATGGCAGAGTATGGTTTACCTTTCAGAGGAGATAAGGAAACATTTGGTTCTCCTCACAATGGCAAATTTCTTAAGATTACTCAAACATATAGCAAAATTTAATCCTTTTCTAGCAAACAATATGAAAAAATTTGGAAAAAAAGCATCAGGTGTCACATCTTATCTTTCTAAAACAATATGTGATGAATTTATCCAAATGATGGTGTATAAAATAAAAGACTCAATCTTGAATGATTTAAGAACTGAAAGTTACTTCAGCTTATTTGTAGATTCCTCTCCAAACCGGTCCTATATTGATCAACTCACTGTTATTGTGAGGTATGTTCCATCAAATGATGGGCTCCCTATTGAACATTTTCTAACTTTCCTAGAGATGGGTAGCCACACAGGGAAAAGTATGGTTAAGATGGTGTACAACTATCTTACAAATGAGTGCAAAATAGATTTTAGTAAGTGTCAAGGCCAGTCATACGATAATGTTGCCAATATGTCTCGTAAATACAAGGGTATGCAAAAAATAATATTGAAGATTAACAAATATGCAATGTACATTCCATGTGCAGATCATTCCCTTGAATCTTGAAGTTGACTGTTGTTTAGATGCATGTTCACTTCCACGCCTGTCGAATTAATTTCTACCTTTTCGTTGCCCTGCGTTGGCAACACGCTTTTGAGATTTGTCATTCGTAGGATTCGGTCGCTAAAAGCGTAGCTGGCCTGTAACAGTTATAATTATTATTTTATGCTTATCTGTACTCCTGAATTATTACTAAATGTTTACGTGTGAATGTTATATCATTAAATGTCTTCAGTTTGGTTTAAATAGACCAAGAGTCGACTGAATTTATTAAGTATGTTTAAAGTCGAAACTGCGTCATCCATGTCGGCGCCATTCTAATACGAGGTACGTAAACATCATTTTGGAGGCACGTCGACGAGATCAGATCAAGAATTCGTCAGCAGTTCAAGTACAGATAAGTGATTTTTTAGTTCGATTTACATCTAAATTTGATTCTTGAAGTTTTATATCTACTTTGTATTGATTTTGATTTTGAACTTGAATACTTCGATTACTTATTATGGATCAAGCTACTGTAATTAGATTGCGTGGTAGGGCAAAAGCGGCCTTCACAAGGCTTCAGAATACTATTTCTTCTTATTTCTTCCGATTTATCTAAAAATGAAGTAATTTTGCATTTTGCATCTGGAGCGCTTGAAAAGGATTTATTCAGATTTTGATAAATTTGATGCCCAATTACCAGAAGAACAGTCAGAAATTGAAGATTTTGAATCGAAGTATTTTAGTTTGAAACTTCAGTATCAAAATTTATTAGATGTATTAAATGCGGCTAATGTGCCAAATGTTACAGGAAATTCTAATATTAGTAACTTTAAGTTACCTAAGTTGAATATTCCTATTTTTTCGGGTAACTTTAATGACTGGATGAATTTTAAAGATTTGTTTGTTGCAACAGTGCATAATATTTCTTCTTTATCGAATATACAGAAATTTCAGTATTTAATCGGATCACTTGCTGATGAACCAGCTTCTATAATTAAACATATTCCGTTATCAAATAATTCTTATGAAGAAGCATGGGCAAAATTGCTCCCTAGGTACGATAAAAAGAAACAAATCGTACAATCATTAATTAAAACATTTATGGATCAAAAATGTATTTCACAGGTTGATAATGTTAATTTAAGGCAATTAGCTGATACTTTCGATGAAGTTATCAGAGGTTTAAAAGCTCTTGGTGACAAAGCAACCATAGGGATCAATGGTTAATATTTATGTTGCTTCAAAAGGTAGATTCAGAAACTCGAAAGTTATGGGCACAGAAAACAGCGGAAGATGATTTTCCTACATTGGAATCATTTTTTGAATTTTTAAATTTAAGGTGTTCTTCTCTCGAAATTATCATAAATAAAGAAGCGGAAGCTAAAGTTGTTGATAAAAGTAGTAATGTTAGTTCTAAAACATTACAGAATTCTAAATTTAGTAATACTAAATGTTCGAAATGTAACGGACTTCATGCGTTATATAAATGAGTTAAATTTAAGAATTTGGATGCTCCTGCTAGAAAGAACTTTGTGAAAAACGAGGATTGTGTTTTTTATGTTTAAATTCACATCTAATCAAAAATTGTAATTCACAGTTAAAG